ACCCCTGAATATGCAGAATCCTGTAGCAACAGTCTGGGGGAGCGGCATCTCTAGATATCTGCAGAATGGATGAAATAACCAGCTCTATGCATATACTATCTTCTTGATTTATGCAAACTTTTCCCAGTTTTGCTACTTTCTTGTATAAATATATAAACTTGCTCTCTTTCATCAGTTTAGGCATGAGAAACATCAGTATGTATGGCAGCACAAACATTATCCCAAACCAGTGGGTTGGCTTAAGCTGAAGAGAGATCATGTGCCTAGCAAACATTAGCTGTATCTCCTTTTAGGAAGCCTTTTCTTCCATATTACAGTGGGTCCTTATTATCTGCTGGGGTTTGGTTCTAGGACCCCCGTGGATAACAAAATCTGTGCTCAAGTCCCATTAAATATAATGGCATAACAAAATGGTGTCCCATATATAAAAAGGAAAATCAAAGTTTGCTATTTGGAATTTATACTTTTTTAAAAAAATATATATTTTCAAGTCGTGGACGCTTGAATCCATGGATAAAAAAATCTGTGGATAAGGAGGGCTGACTGTACTGCAAAACATAATTGCACATTTTCCCCCTTGGAGCAAACAGCATGTTCAGAGGGGAGCTATTTAAATCAGGAAAATAATGGGGTGGTGATGGTGGTCATCTCTACCTTTCACAATGTTGAAATACAAATATCTGACGCATACAGTTTGTCCCACAGCCATGAATTCGCTAGGTAACCTTCAGCAAGCCTTTATTTCTTAATCCCTTCTGTGAGGTATAGAAATAATATTATACAGAAATAACACTGACTCAGTTTGAAGGGTTGTTCTAAGGCTTATGGATAATATAGATCAGGGGTAGGCAACCTAAGGCCCGGGGGCCAGATGCAGCCCAGCAAGGCCTTTGGACCGGCCCCAAACCAGTCCTGCCGCCGCCGCCCCCCCACCGCCGCCGCCCCCCCATGATGATATTGATTATTGTTTTATTACTTGTTCTTGGGGTTTTCTTGGCAAAATCTTCACAGGGGTTTTGCCATGGCTTTTCTGGGGCTGAGAGAGTGTGCATGCATTTTTTAAATTTTTAAATTCTTTTTTAATTTTAATTTTTATTTATTTATTTATTTATTTATTTATTTATTTATTTTTGGTGCTTCGGCCCATCAATTGTCTGAGGGACAGCAACCCGGCCCCCGGCTCAAAAAGGTTGCCTACCCCTGATATAGATGAAGCACTTTTATCTCATATCTGTATTACATAAGAATATGGCAAGCATGCTGGATATGCCAAAGGCATATCAAATACAGTGTTCTGTTCCCATAAGAACCAATCTGTAAATACGCGGTGCAACACAAGCGTCTTCCCATGGGGTTTCATCAGTGCTCTTCAGATACATCATATCTGGAAGAAACATGTAGCCATAATGACCGTAGTGCTCTCATATGGTGTGGACAAAGATGACACCCAAAATTACTTTCTTTACTTTTTTTTTATTATAGATACTACTCTACCCGGATCTTCTCAGGAGAGACAACCACTGAAACAGAAAACTATTGCCCTTTGGGATCTGCTCCACTACAGATTGGCTCAGCTCAGGGTTATTTATGGGTAAGAAAAGAGATGCCACCTGAATATTAGAGAAAACATCCTGACAGCAAGAATGTTCGACAGTGGAGTACTCTGCCTTATAAGAGTGATGGAGTCTCTTTCTTTGGAGGTTTTTAAACAGAGGCTGGATGGGCATCTGTCAGGATTGCTTCAGTGTGTTCCTGCATGGTGAGGAGTTGGACTGGATGGCCCTTGAGGTCTCTTCC